TATATTTCTTCTGCCATCTGCTTAATAAATAGTTTTGTAATCTAAAACTTTGTAACATATTAACTTGCACCTACTACGCAATATAACAACATAAACAGACGATTGCAGAAAGCTCCGGAGGGCCCCTTTAAGTACAGAAGGTAATAGTTTGCCGATACTGAACAACACTTAGGCTCTTGATGCAGTTGAAAAGTGAATCATGCACACCGGTTCCGGGCAAAAGCAAGATGGCGTCACGCTTCATCAAAGCACACGCTGCTCGAAACAGCGATGCATGAGGGCCGCCATTTTCGGTCTCGGTGGTGATGCTTTCAAAGAACACAACAAATACTCGACGTCGTCTTATTCTTAAATTATTTTTTCCTCTTTATATGCGTTTTTTTTTTTTTTAATCTCGCAGATATTTATGTTACTAATGTTATAACGATTGCACTTGTGGTATATATGCGCAGAGAAAGTGGTCTGTTTCTTGCGTAGGGGTTGCCAATAGTGGGTGGACCTCAGTGCTCGATGCCTTGAGGTCTACCCACTACTTTTTTCGAACAGCCATTAAGAGCTCGGCGTCGCTCTGACGTCACTGGAACTGCTGGGCGAGAAGCAGACGACTTGCTCTCCGCGTACCCTTCGCAATATTTCCCCGGGTCCTAGGGTATGTAAATGAAGAACTAATATAATAGCATTTGCAAGTGATGAGTCATGGCACGAGCAACCGTGGGCTCGACGCGTAAATCAAACTTCTGAGTTCTGTTTAATATGTTTCGTTTCGAATACAAACAACGGATTGTTTAACCTCTTCTTTTACTAAAAACAAAAATTATAACTTTTGCTAAAACGTGCTTACACGCCTTATGTACCCTACAGTAGACAAAAAACCTAAGCATCAAGAGGAAGCCCGAAAACTAAGAAAGCAGAGCAGCTCTGATGTAGAAGAAAACTTAAGTGACGAATGTAAGTACAATTAATCTAAAGCACGCTTTTCTGCGGATCGCATGTTCCTTGGCAACGTTGTCTCCTACTGGTGATTGACAGAAATAGAAAATATAAGTATATCTTAATCCTAAGAATAAAGTCGTGGGACTTTCGCCCCGCTGTATACCCTCCCCGATAGATGTATAGCGGAAAGAGTGTTTTCGCGCTAAATTTAGCGGGGTATTTACGTGCTACACTATTGCGTTTTTCTTTGTTGGGATTTCTTGAAACTCAACCCTTGACACAGTATGTCTAAAAAAAAATTTAAAAAAGCGTAAATATTTCTGGGTGACCAAGAAAAAAGATAAAGAAAAAATATTTGATCCTCAGAAAGCAGCAACAGCAGTGCGGCCACCAGAGCCGCATATACTCCAGCGGTTATAATGGGAACTAGACGTAATCCAAACATTCCATAGTCTGTGTCTGGGACCAGACAAAAGAATGGGACGTTCGAAGGCTGAGAGCATGCATGACAAATATGCTTCGAACATACTCGACGAGGAGGCCGGTTAGGCGCACGCAGCCTGCATTCGTTTATTTCGCCGTAAAACACACCACGTATCACCTGATAGACCGAGTGACGTTCAAACGAAGTAGTCGGTTAGTGCTTACGTGTTTCCATCACTACTTCCGCTAGGGAATTTGAAATCGTTCATAATGGGGACAGAACGAGCGGGTTGGTATGGATAGTTAAACTTGAGGAAGAAAACGAGAAAGGACGGACAAACACAAGTTTGTGTTTGTCCGTCCTTTCTCGTTTTCTTCCTCAAGTTTAACGTTTATAATAGTCTCGTTGCCACAGCATCAAGTGCGCTGCTTTGGCAGTCGGCCTCAAACTCAGTGAAGTTAAAAGTAATCAGTTGGGGCCTATATGGCTGTTTCGCTCGCAGCTACCGCTAGGGGATTACTTACTGCTTATGACTGGCCACAAGATGCATGCTTGCGAACGCTCCCAACCGCGCGTTCGGCGAATGGAGTTTCCTGATTTGCGTGCCGACGGTCGCGATGGATGGCCAAACTCTCTTTCTTGCAGCTTCGAATTCAAACACTGGCTAAGTGGAATACACCTGGAATACAAAGACCTCGATGTGTTTGCGTAGTGTGAACGGTCGGACGCTCCGCAGCTCAGGTTTTCCCCATCGAACGCAGAGCGTAAGTTCGTCTGCTTGTTTGGCAGGGGTTGTGGCGACGTCAAACGCCGGGCTCTGCTTGGAGAATGTTGGGCAGACCTCAAGGCACCTTGCGTTGAGGTCTACCCACTATCCCTCAATCGGAACCAATCAGAGCTCGGCCTCGTTCTGACGTCATTACAACCCCAGCAAAAGAAGCAGACGAACTTACGCTCCGTATAAGGAGGAGGGGCTTGTGCCGTCTATTGTGAAGTGCTCGACTACTTTACAATGGCACCGAAAACATCTTGCGGGGCATTTCACGAAGCTGAAAAAAAAAAAAAGTGGTTGTCACGCTTGGCCTTACGGGCGTTATAACCGTGTCTCGGCAAGTGGAAAGAAATTGCAACACATGTATAGTCCCTGACGCCGAGAACTCCCTAATGCCAGGGAAGGATATGGTGCTGTAGACGTGCATGATATAATGTGCGAACTAGCGGTGTGCTAGTTAGCATAACGTTTTGCATTAAGCAATGCAAAACGTCACGCTTGCATGCTTAATGTCACAACTCAGACTGCGTTTTTTGGTCTAAACATATGTTTCGGTATCGTCATTCGCTGAGCTGCCTCCGTAAGTTGCGGTGACTGGCTCTGCAAGTGTTGTGCGGGGAAGCAGACGCACGGGCTTTTTTTAGAGTGTAGGTATACTGCTTTAGCACAGTATGGTACAATATACTAAGTAAACTGCTATAGTAGTTCAACAAGGTACAGTATGGTCGGTAAATCGCTATAATACAGTATGGTACAGTTTTATATAGCTAAACTACTATAGTAAGTATGGTACAGAAGAGTAGGTATGCTACTATAGTGGTGCATTGCAGTGGGTATACTGCTATTCGCGACTCCAGCGACCTATAGGCGGCGCCATTACCAAATAAACGGCTGGGAACAGGTCGCATCGGCTCAGCCGGGCCGCCTGAACGGGTGGCGCATTCAATTTAACAGATTTTTCTTTTTGTTTAATGCCCTATTTTATAGGTATTTGAACTGCGACGGTTAAGTGTAGCCGGTGTACATAAACTTGCAGAGCATAGTTTTCTTTTCCAGGTGCTTTTTGTACTTTTTAGGTCAAACTTTTGTTTCGGAGATTTCGTTTGAAACCGAAACTTTTGGCTCCGGAGAGATGGTAATAGACTCTACTCAGTTTTGATCAGCCAAGGAAAGCGGCGATGACTACAGAATTGGCTCACCGAGAGTAATTTTCAACTAACTCGCATGCCTCGACCATGCGACCTATCTGTCCGCGAAATCGAGCTTTTGTACGTATCCGCGTTTAAGAAACAGTTCCAGTCGTCTGCTCGGTCAACAACACAGGCTGCAGGAAAATTACGAAAATTAAGCAAGCGCTTATTGAGCCAAGGAGCATATTAACCCACTGGCGCCCCACTAAGCAGCTGATACTCGTATTTCAATTCAGGTTTTAGTAGCAATCGAGAAGTCATTTTGACGAATATGCGGGTTATGTATTATATTACGTACTATGGTCCCACTAAAGCGATTTTTAGTATATTTTTCGGGTTGAAATATGAGCTTAGTTGACTAGCTATTAAGTGAACTGCTGAATAAAAGTATATTTGACAGACAGAGAGATACTACTTAATCTTAGCCAAATGGTTCGAGCCGGCAGCACGGAGACGAGTGAGGACAAACTGAAGAGAGTCTTCATCGGAGATTCACGCAGAACCTCTCTGCATTGAACTTGACTTCGAATCCTGAACGGAAAAATTGAGCATACTTTGTGGCCGGGCAACCTGAACAATGTAGACGTATATTGCTGCTGGCTTTGACGGGGGTATAATATAAATATTGGAGGCGCGATAGATCATAATGTCGTGACAGCTTCTAACTTTGCGAGACGCGTCCCCAACCTTTTGGAAGCAGACAATTTCCCTCATTAATCGTATGCAGCAAGCAGGTTTTCCGGAATCAAGTAATTGCGACATCAGCCCAACTCCTTCGGTGCGGTCCAGAGGCTTTTTCGGCAAAAAGCAGCCAAGATGAGTAGCCAACGCACCGACTCGCGTGGGTGGCTCAATCTTGAAGCTAATCGAACACAACCAAACTCAAGAAAAGCAGCTATCGAACCCTCCCAATCACTTGACTGCAACATTGGTGTTCCCTCAGTGAAACACCTCGTCTGTCGTCCTCAGTCCCCTGTTCTACATCACTATAAATAAACCATTTATCAGTTACCAAGTAGTCGTCACTTTGAATGCGATTCGAGACAGGCAAGAAATCAAAACGTTTCTCCGTGATTCCTCCTCATCCAAGAAATCGAAAGCAGTCGTCACTTTGAATGCGATTCGAGACAGGCAAGAAATCAAAACGTTTCTCCGTGATTCCTCCTCATCCAAGAAATCGAAAGCAGGCGACCGTGTGTTGTGGAGTAAACAACCTTTCAAACACGTGATGGAAGGACACAATCTACTGAGGCTTCACCACACTAATGAACACTCAGGCAAACTTAAGAAATATTCGGAGCTTCGTCAAATTACATGATTCGCCACCGCGCCGACAACACGTATCCGCGAAAGCCGCCAGAGACGCGGAGAGGCGCAAAGTGACCTGTTCCGGCTGGTTCCGGTTTTCCCGCTTGGTGCCGTCCGTTTTGCTGGAGTCGCGAATAGTAGTGCGGTAAAGTTTCGTTTATGTACTCTATATTGCCATAGCACATTATGGTATAGCGCAGCATGTATACTACCATGGCACATAATGATACAATATAGTATGTATAGAGCTATAGTACGGTATGGTACATTAGAGCACCGTGGTTGCTGAATACTTTGAAACGCGTCCCTCATCGCCAGGAGAAACCAGCCAATGGTATCAATCTGTTTCCTCTTTCCCCTCAAATGCCAGCAGCCGAGGCACCCGAGGTCCCGGCCCGCCACCGACGCTCGGACAGCGGGCCCGGGTCGGCCCAGGCACAGGACCAGAGCCGCTTCCGAGAGATGGAGCTGCTGTGCGAAGCCGGACTCAACTTCGGTCGCCAGGTGCGCAACGTGCGGAGGGTCGCCGTCGCCGACAACTCCTTCGTCAAGCAGCTGTCGCCCCCTTCCCGGAAGACCGTCGAGGACATCGAAGAGGGCCTGTTCCAGGTGCAGCGGATGCACAGCCATGTCATGGCGAAGACCACCAGCCTGGTCTACAGGTGAGAACTCTTCGCAACTCGGATGTCGTGCGTTTGACTGCAGTGCCTGGAACCGTCTCCGATTGGTGTGTTTAGCTTCATATATACCCGCCCATTCATCAAAATGCGGTCCCGCATACTGGCAACGAGTGACATCGCAGAAGCTGGGGTGTCATGCTGTCGAGGGAACGAGTACGAACTTCTGGCTGTCGAAGCTTCCGTGGACTGCCAAGCTTGAGAGCGACCTGCAGCGGAACAGACGTCTGCCACATCCACCACCGCTGCCTTAACACCACCAGGATCGCGGCGGGCGGCAGCATGACACTTCTGTGGCGTCATCAGACGGAAATAGAGGGACCACTCTTTGTGACGCGGTAAACACACCAGTCGGAGACGCGTTCCAGGAACCATTAGTAGTAGTAGTAGTAGTAGTAGTAGTAGGACACGTTTATTACTGAAGAAAAACAAGGAAAAGAGGAAAGGGGATCGCGTTGATGGCTACGAGACCTCGACGTTCTCAATAAAACTTTGGTTGGAGTTGGTTGCTACATATCGATTAAAAAGTTGAAAGGCGCGAACCCAACCGAATTATTGCGTACGGCAAGCTTGTGTTCCCGCGCTCTTTCATTAAAACATCGGCCCGTCTGACCAACGGACTTGTAGCTCATTTTACTAAGGATCATTTTTGCTAAAACTATATTCCACAATCAAAAAAAAAAAGGCCTCTTTCTTTTAGCAGTTTCAACTCGAAGCTTGTTAAACGTGGGATTGCATACACCTGCAGCCTTCACGCAGCCATTACAAAAAGCTGCCGGCATAGACTGCTGGCAGCTTTGATCATCAGGTTGCACACTTTAAGAGTACCGGTTACCCTAAGTGCTTAGTGTGAAATGTGTGTGAGAGGCTCCTACAGAAAATTAAACGAAAGGGTGGCGACAAATGTCGAGAAAAGACAGACAAGATGCCAGTGCAGGTGGTTCCATATTTGCACAAGGTGTCCCACAACTTTAAAACGATGATTGGTAGGCACAGGGTTAATGTGGTGTACTCAGCACCGTGCAAACTTTCCAAGATATGCTCCGTGATGTCAAAACAAAAGTTAGTTTCGTGCTCAAAAAAACATGTAACAAGATAGACCGAATGCGTGACTAAGGTGGTATATGAGATTCCTTTCGGTTGCGGCAAAGTATACATCGGTCAGACGGGCCGATGTTTTAATAAAAGAGCGCGGGAACACAAGCTTGCCGTACGCAATAAATCGGGTGGGCATCTTGCCCACTCGAATTGTAAACTGTAAACTGTAAACGATGCGTGTGTGAGCCAATGTTAGAACGTACACGGTATCTCAAGAGAGGGAATGGTAAGATGAAAAACGAAATAATCTAGGCTTTATGTATAAAAAAAAAGCGTCTGACAAAAGCGTCTGACAAATGAAAACTGGCGCGGCCACTAGGCTGCGCCAGTTTTCACTGCATACTTTGGAAGGTAATTTATTTCCCGCTTTACTCCTTCACGTCTTTCCGCTAGGTGGCGTTTCCTCTCCAGGAGATGCGAACAGGGCGTATCACTCAGCTGGAAGTGAAGCATCATGGGGGAAGGAATGTCCATTAGTAGGATCAAAACAGCGATTCGCGGCAAGTGTTGCGTATGGTCAGCTGCGCCGTTGTGGTTTCAAAGACGAGCAAATTACGGAGATAATTACTTCCGTGTATACATTTTTATTTTGTACCAAAAGTTGTACATAATCACCGGAAGAAAACTTTTAATAAATACAAGACAGACTGGAAAGAACAGAATGTGCGATAGGCCTTCCAGGAAAGGAGAGGGGCTTCTTAAAGGCACTGCCTACCGAAGATTCGCTTTCATTTCTCACACACGACGTCAGATAGCGCTACATGACCGGAAAGGCCGCGAAGTGCGCGAGCTCGTTCACGCGCCGCGCGAATGAGCTTGCTCTTGCGTGGTCCCTGCCACCGACCCTGTATATCTCAGTCAGCAAAGCACTTGGTTCACAACCTCAAGTTAACGGGTTCAAAGCCTGCGGGGGAACTGGGGTCTTTTTATATGGTTCCCTATGTGCGTAACGCTTTTCGGTGTCAGTTTTTGTTACAACCGGCCAGAGCCGACTCTTACAGCCGAACGTTACAGAACTCAATAGAAATCGGTTGACAAAATGCATTCTGTGTTAAAATATATACCGCGGCCATCGTACCAAGCGGCATTAGCTAAGCTTCCGAGCGAAATCGACGGATGGAAGCACTCAGGGTCCCCAAGCCACAGGTATTATATAGCTTTCTGACAGATGGCCGTGCATTATTACTGTGGCTATAATTTTTTGTTAACAACCGAGAAATCTTTCATAGAAGCAAAAGGTCGACGCCCAAAGTTTTCAACATATGTGCGTTCGAAGTTTGCTTTAAACCCGTACAACATTCCGAGACTAAATTCTTTTTTCAACACATACAGCTACTGGAGTCGAAAGCACATACCTAAATGGAAAACATATGGTAGGCTAAATGGTGCAATATGTTGCATTAAAGCCTGGGTTTGGGCTAGGCTTCTTTGTCCTTGTTTTGTTCGCGCTTTTTAAACCTTTTAATTGAAATATATTGCACCAGGTACGCCGTGTGGAATGAACACTTAGCGTATGTTTATTGGATATTATAATCGCCAAGGGGAACGACTGGCGATTACTAAATGATCGTAATTGTCTCATTTATGAGTTAACCATTCTTTCCGAGTTTACTCATGATGGATCACTTAGCTTGAAGCTTAGTTTACAGGCACTCTTGGGCACTTCGTGCAAGCGCCTCTGGTCCGGGGCCAATACAAAGTTTCTTGTGGGTGCACGTCTCTGTAGGGTTGTCCACGCACGCGCTGATTCAATCGAGCACATGGACGTTAGAGCACGCAGAGTGACTGTTGGCCATAGGCACACGGACGCAGGAACACAAAAACCACAAATCAGGTTACGAGAGCATCACATAGCACAGGGAAAGAACGGCACGTAGAAGCGGGCCTCCGCACGCTCTTCCGTGCGCACACAGCAATGGAGGCTGAAGTAGGACCGCATTGAATGTTGACGTCACGTGAATATGCCCTGCAGACGCCGTCCCCCCCGCGCCGCCTAAACGGCGCAATGTCCGAAGGTGATCACATTCCTCGATATGGAAGTAGCGTAGAAAATATTTTGTCCCGTAAATACCTGACCGGTATAAACGAGATTATTTACCTGTGAATGGCTAGCTTTATTCCCCGGTTCACCGGAGAGCGAGCGAAGAGGGTGAGTAAAGGTATTCAGCAGAAAGAGAGAGAGAGAGAGAAAGGGTAAAGGGAGTTTTCGGAGAGTGGGAGTAAATTGTGTAAGCAAAGAGTAAAGGGAGTAAGGGAAGAGAGTGAGTACAGGGGTTAAGTGATTAAGTGGAGAGAGTGAGTAAAGAGATTAAGCGAAAAGAGCGAATAAAGGGACTAGGCGAAGAGAGCAAATAAAGAGAGTAAACAAAGATACTTAACAAAAGGAGTAGGCGAAGAGGGAAAGTAAAGGAAGTAAGCGGAAAGAGTGTGTAAAGGGAGCGAACGAAAAGAACGAATAGGCTAAGTAAAGAGAGTGTGTAAACCGAAGAAAGCGAGCAAGCAAAGAACGCTAAAAATGCAGACATGTCTTAACGTATTTTTTAACTCGTCACGTTAATTTTTTTTTTCTTTTTTTTTTTTAGGTTGCAGGACGTTCTATTGCAAGAGGAGTGTAGCCGACTTCGAAAGCAGATGCAGCGAATTTCGACGTTGCCAGGTGAGCTTGGAAGCGACGCCGGAAAACAAAAATATTTCAAATCTTTCCTATAATTATCACAGCTCTGCAACGAGAGAGCCAAGCTGTCAGCTTCAGCCTACAAGGGCTAAAAGTATATGCATGGTTGTGGTTGCTGTTTTTGTCGAGTACGAAAAGAAGTTACAAAGAAACACTTGAAATCTAAGGAGAAAAAAAATATCATCCATGTATGAGTTATAATTGTATCAACTGCGACGGAAGCGAGGGCACGGGTGTGACGTGATAACTAGCAAGGCGATTATCTAAAAATTACTTATTAACCTTTTAAATACTCGACATGGCCCGCAAATTCCAATCGGAGACTTGCATCCCGTCGTCATTTTAGGTCATGGCAGTAGCTGGATCCTAGGAAACTAAAAGTCTGTCCCGCGCTTTTCGAAAAGCAGAAAGCAAACTTCCGCCTTTCCTTAAAGGAGCTGTGCCACGATATTCAGTTGGAATGTTTTTCACTTGACACGAGCTTACTGGCACACTTGGGACTCAATGATACTCATACGCAACGCCACTGGCCAAGAAACTCCTTTGTTGCGGTGTAATTTCAAGGACAAAAGCGATCATTTTCACTCAATTTCTCCTTTGCAAAATTTGATGACGTAACTCGGGGATCGCAGTACACCCCAGTGAGTGACGATATTTGAATGCGGTTCATAGATTGGACCCGAGAATTGCGTGGGCACTCGACTTAGGCTCCTGATAATTGTTAGCTCGAGAAGTATTCGGGTAGTGACCCGTGTCCAATCGCTGCAACGACGACAACAGCCGAGCCATAACAATGTCTGGAACTCAGCGCGTGTCCTGCGCTTTGCCAACCCCAGCGCGTGGCTATGATCAACATTGGCGGCATATAATCGGCTCCAGATCACGTGGCCGCTTGTTCTGGCTGCGAGTTGAGGGGGTAAACGCTGCTCGTTTTTCTTTACTTTTTTTTTCTGGGACTTCTATTGCGTGGGGTGAAGAAGGAACGCGTGTTTCATAGGTCATTAACGTTAGGGGTCCGTTTTAAGCTGTATTTGCGCAAAGTACAAAAATTGTTGCATCGCTCCTTTAAACGTTAGGAGACATTTCTTCTCTCTTTTTTTCTTCACCTTTTTTCGGTTTTTGTGACGCAAAATTTCCGGAAACTTTCAATGGAGGGGGAAAAAAGTCGGTTTTGTTCTCCAGATGTTTTCATAGAAAAGTAGAACTTTCCGGAAAAAATTGAAAGCTCGGTGCCACTGACATTTTCCTTCGCAGCGTGTAATCATAAAGGTACTAGCGGCGAGATGTTTTGGTGGCGCCCTCTTATGGTTCCCTCTCGTGACGTCATTACCTTGCGAACAACAAGTTCGTTGGTGTTTGAAATTAGGATGGAGGAAGCTTGAAATAATTGCGTTATCAAAGCAACACTGCCAACACTGTCAAAATTAAAGTTCTTACACTCCTCTTATTTTCGTCGATGAGAAATCCTTTGCTGACGTCATTGTCAGCATTCGGCCAATCGTGGGAGGCCGACCACAGCGACGCTTTCGATCGCGCACGTCGCCAATACATATGTGTTAACGTCTTGCAGACACCCATTACAAGAAATGAGATGTCTTCTAAGGTGTATGGCGTTAAGAAAGCTATGTGATACTTAAAATAATAAAAAAAAACTACAGGGTGTTCCAAAAAACATTTGCAGATGTGTTTTCTTTTTGTTTTTTGTTTTTGTTTTTTACCGCGAAAATAAACTCTTCATTGACGGAGCTCTCGAATACACAGAGATGATTATGAATGACCTCCTGCAGTTACCTAAAAAGGGCGAAAACAGTTATGCTATAGTTCTGAAACTTTGGAGTCTGGTGTGGACCGATAGCGCTAGATTTAAGCGAAGAATGAGCGTTCGGCGTTGCGTATACAAAGTTACCCTTCTTGTTTTCTTCTTCTTCTTTTTTTTCTGGGGGGGAGGGGGGGGGGGGGGGGGGGCACTTTTGCTGTACGTGCGAACTGCTTTCTCTTTAACCGGAAACGACAGAGCCACTATAGACACGCTACGCTTCAGAGTAACGACACTGCGGCCGCCATTTTGGCACCTGGAATCAAGGTTGGCAGTTCTCCGAGGCCTCGTGCGAGGTCGCGGGAAACGCTCCTCGCGTCCTCCAGAAACGCTGAAACGGTCCGCGACACGGCGAAACGACATATATCGTCCGTGTTTCTCGACTATAAAACTCACGAAGTGGCGTTTTCTTCGAACCGTAACGATCGTCAGTGGCGCCCGCCCTCTGCACCGAGAACCAAAAATGGCGGCGCCCACCGGAAAATCGGGCACCGCTACGTAGGCTTGTTTGTAAACGGCGCATAAGTAAGGTGCTTCGTTTCCAAATTCATTTTTCTTGTATTTTTTTTTAAATTGGGGTTAAACTTTTGCCGCTTTCATCTAAACCATGGTATAATCAAGGAGAAAATTATATCTTCTCTTCGATCACGGAATATATTTAGAAATATACGAGTATAATTAGCAATTGATCGGTCCGAATGCGAAAATTATTTTTATTAAGTACTGTACACGAGATGGCATTGAAGCGAGATAAGAGCTCACGTGAGCTATTGAATTTTTCATAGATCCAGAAGGGTTTGGATTTGGGCTAGTTGGTTACACAGTTTAGGGGTTAAAAGCGCTGAAAACGACGGACGAGTAGGAGAAACACGCACCACAGAGCGCCCTGTGGTGTGTCGTTTTTAGCGCTTTCAACCAATATTTATAGATTCTCGTTGCTTACGTAATATTCTGCATGCGCAGCATCTGTCTCCATCCTAGACGTGTCCGGTTTTCGGACACATGTCATCTGAACTAGACCAGCTTAATGAGCTACGCTATTCTGTTCCCCGGTATTGCTGTGGTCGCCGCCATCTTGGTACTTAGCGCAAAGCGACCCAACTGTCGATCGCCACAACTCACAAATGCGACTTCCCACAGCTTTAGATGCGGTGCCGGCGAGCTTATGTGATATGGTTTTGCTCTGTCGCAAAAAAGTTTTAGAAATGTCGGGAGGACGGAAAAGCGGTTTCTGCGATCTCAGATAAAGCTTCACATAACTCGCCACCATGATCTTAAGCCACAAGATGTGCAAATGGCGTTACTCTAAAGCGTAGCTTATTTAGTGGCTTTCAGCTGAACTAAGAGAACGTTCTCTCATTTGAAATACGTAAACTCTCATCCTTCTTGTTGGTTTGATTTTTTTGCGCTGGTTGAAACGGTGGAAGGAGAAGGTCAAGGAATACGTCACAGTGGACTTGCAAGGAAACATTTGAGGGTTCGATCTATGTCAGTGCAGTTCACTGAATCCAGAAGAATCTATGGGATTGTTTCCGTTGTCAGGAGTCAGCGCACGTGTCCCCCCTACCAACTCTCTCTCTCTCTCTCTCTTTGTTTCCTAGAAAATATTTTCGGAGCAGAGTAACTGGAAAAATGCGGAAATTCAATTTCCGCATTCGGGGAACAATCGGGTTTAACCCGATCTTCAAGGAACGTTTCCGGGGTGTAAATATCGGGAGATATCGGGTGTTACCCGGTAATTCCCGAACAGCTGAAGCGTTTCGCTAGAAGCGCGACTGTTCGCCAGTCACGGGCAGCGCCGAAAACAGAACGGTCACGGCGCATCTCGTTTCTCAGAGCAAACGTTCTCCCCCGGCTAAAGGTCAACTGCGAGGGGCACGCGCCGTGACCTTACAGGCCCTTGTGCCGCGTGTGCGCTCTATTGACTTTGACTGCGCTCTCGTGACGATAACCGTCAACAATGGCGATTGTTGGCTCGGAGTTACTGTTCGCTCAAAGCTAAACCAAAGACTGCAAAGAAATAAAGAGAAAAAAAAAACATTTTGACATTGAAGGAACAAGTGTTTGTGCCTGGAAATGTTGAAGCGGTTCCTTTTGTATGTGTGTGTGTGTGAGAGATAGTTTAGCTCATAGCACCTGGAAGAGAAGGCCTACGGGTGACGTCATTGCTGGTGGATCACCCGAGCCGCCCCAAGCGGCGAAGACGCCTAAGCTCGACGGGCGTCTTTGCCTCAACGTCGCCCGCTCCTTGGGAGAGGCTGCAAGATGCGTTGTCGACGATCGTGGGCGAAGCTGCGTGGGTTCGTGAGCGATGAAGATCGGAGGTCTTCTAAGTGATAACGGTTTAAACCGTAAAAAGAAAGAAAAAAGAACTGTTGTTTTCTTTCGCCGTTACTTTCTTCTCTCTTTTTTTTTTTTAGGCGTTCTTATTATTTGTTGCCGAACGCAACACGAGAAAGCGAACGATGTTCAGCCGTGCTGAATAGGATGTCGGCTTCAGCTCGCGTAGCTTTCGTACGCACAGCCTCACAGCTTGCACTCCACTGGATGAGAATAGGTCAAATTGGGCTTACAGACGAACTGGTACCTAATCGAGTACAGCACGTCCCGAGAAAAAACAAATTAAAAGGTGTTTTTTTTCTTTTTGCACCAAAAAAGTAAGAGTTACGCATCTCTGAACGCTCATTTCCCACCCTAAATGTAGTGCTGAAGGTCTTAACCAGACGCCAAAGTGTCAGCACTAACCGTTATTTTATTCAAAAGTTATAGGTGACTGTCTGAAAATTTCAATGGAAACCTGACGACCGACGGAGGCAAAAATTGGCCCCATTTTCGCATTGAAATTTTCGGAAAATCACTTATAGAGGCTGAACCGCGTGTAAGCGATTCCGCGAGCGACGAGACGAGCGGCGGCGACATCGACGAGAGTCAGCGATGAGCGCGACGAAGATTTTTCACTGTCGCTCGTCGCGTCTCTCGGTTTTGGGAATTTCTAGAAAACGTCGCTCATCGCCCTCGCCCCTTCCTCCCATCGCTTTCATGCGGTTAACCTCGTCGCGCGACTGGCCAGAGACAGCGAAGCGGGCCGCCGTCGCTTGTTCTCCTCGCTCGCCAAAGAGCTTGCATGCGGTGTATGCTTAACTTGTGAATAAGATATCGGTTCTTGCCGAAACCTTGGCATCTGGGTTTGTCCTCTAGCGCTACATGTGGGCGGAGAATGAGCGTCAAACAATGCGCAGTTTATGTTTGCAAGGTAGATAATTGAGAGTGTTGGTTATTAATTCTCGATAAAGAAAGAGGGGCATTGAAGACAAACAGTTTGTCTTCAATGTCCCTCTCTTCTTATCGTAAATGTTTGCAACTTGTTATATATTATTCTGCACGCACGGATGCTTTGTTTCGTGAAAAATGTTGGTTCCTGCGAACCTGCAGAACCCGTGGGCGAAGGCGCTCGTTTACGAAGGGCGAGTTGTTGCATACGCGGCGAGCAAGTGTTCCTGAACACGTCCTCGGCGCGTCGGAATGCAAGGAGAGGCTGACGAACATTTGTTTGCCAGCCCCTCCTAGCATCGGCACGCAAAAGAGCGGCTGGCAAAAAAAGAGGTGGGCGAAGGGGAAAACAAACTTGTATAGACATTTTCCACAGGGGCGCCGCCATCTTGAATTGTCGTCACTTCCAGTATGGGCGACGACAAAATAGTAAAACGTTTCAACCTGTAACCATTAAAAAAAATAGAGGGGAGCCAAAACAAGAATGTGTGACGGTTAGGCTTATATCCCAAATGTCTTCTTTTGGCGTGGCGACGGCAAAGTAATGGTTTCGCCCATACTGGAAGTGACGACAATTCAAGATGGCGGCGCCCTTGTGGAAAAGGTCTATACACGTTTGCAAGTCCGGCTTCAGGGCGCTGCCATCTTGCCTGTCTGGGGTGCGCTTGGACCAGTCATAATCCGATTACGAAGCCTTGCTAAGGCGTCGTAATCGGATTATGGCCGCTCCCGAGAGCGCACCCCACTGAGGAAGATGGCGGCGCCCTGAGACCGGACTTGCAAACGTGTATACGCTCTGTCGGAATGCGCATGCGCGTGTCTCACGGAGTTCTGTCTCTTGTCCGCAGCCGAGAGGAGGACAGCGCAGCTGCGGGAGCGAGAGCACGACCTCATCGTGAGGATAGTCCGCAACGTCAACAAGAGGGACGCCATTTTGGCCGATCTCCACACGGAACAGCTCAGGTGAGTTTCAGCGGCTCAGCTGGACACCGCACCTATTTCTCTATCCATGGAAAAATCTGCTGTACTCACAGACTACGAACAGACTTTCATAAACGGTATTTCGCAACGTAAAGAACCGCAGAACCAATCCCCACCGCCAAGTTTCTAAAAAAATATGTACATTTCGTCAATACGCCACTCGGTGCGAAAGCGCCATTTTTCTGACGTCATCGGAAACAGAAGAGCGCGTGTCATTTATTGTTTCTACTGCGTGTATGTTTAGACAACAAGTTAGTCTGCCCGAAAGAGCGTCTGGCGTTCCCGTTGTGTATAGATGACAAAATTAGCCAGGAAAATAGTACTATACCACCGCTAGCCTGGGGTCTTTAAAACCTCCGTCACACTTTCCCTACATCGCATACAATGGAGACACGGTGTTATCATCCGCGAACAGACCTCACGGATGTTCGATTAAGCGTGTTTGCTGTATACGTATGCTTCCAACATGATCTCCAGGGAATTTTTTTTTATTATTATTATTAACGTGGCAGGAACGTTAATAATGAAGAAAGACGCCTCCGACACTATAGGGACTTTTAGGGAACCGTTTTTCCCCATCCCATACGTAGGCCCTCCGGTACCAACTGCGCATGCGCTGCCACAGAAGACTCGCATACACGCAGTTCGTAGAGGAGGGTCTTTCCTTCTTTTTTTCTTTCTCCGATTGACCGGGAGGTAGGCAGAGACTAAAGGCGTGATGCCTCACGAGGTCTCTGTCCCCTTTACATTTCTAACACCGCAGTCTATTGTGCATAGATTTTTTAACACGAAAAATAAAGAAGCTACAAAATCCTATACAACTCGGAAACAAAAAACGGGATCAATCAATTATCCCAGGATAATTTTTTCAGCAAAGAATGATAAACACAAATTAGTCAGAAACGTGTTTTATCAATTCAAAAGCAAAATATGGACATGATTTAATAAATACACAGCACACACATATCAGAACACAATGTCACTGCCCACCAGAATTTCAATCCCCACCGCTGCCCGTTTCGATCTGGATGAGCATCGTACCGGCGTGCGGTCGTGTATCACTACAGCGTGATGCACGTTAAAGACCTCAGGCTAGCGGTTGTACTGCACTGGCTAAATTGCTCATCTACAGCTGGGAGACTCGTCGCCCCTGTGAGGCAGACCAAGTACTAGGCTGTATAAACAAACATATACACAACCCAATTTTTTTTGCCCACCAGAAGTGTCTTTAGTCTTTTTTTCCCCCCAATTGGAGTACATTGCAGTTAAAATCTATTAGATCTTTTGTATTATTCAAAATTTTGGCGACTTGGAAGCTTGTCGTTTTTTTTTTGTTTTTTTTCCGTAATTGGTACATATTTTTGGAGGTCGTCTGATTCTATGTCTAAGTGTGTGATAGGTTGTGTTTTCTGGCCGAATTGCGAAAAGTTTTTTTGTATGTATTATCTGTGACAATTTAAAATAACAAATTTGATTCACTTTAAGTAGGCCATATTTTCTGAATAGCGGTTCAGTTGGGAGATTTTGAGGATTACCGTTATAATTTTCAAATAGTCGTAGAATTTTTTTTTTTTTTTTTTTTTTTTTTGTAAGATGATCAACCTATTATAATTGGTTGCCAATGTCGTGCCCCAGACTAAAATGCAATAACACAGTTTGGAGTAAAATAAAGCGTAATATGTATTCTTTTTTAGCCACAAAGGTATGAGATTTTTTATTTTATAAATACATCCGATGGCTCGGGATAGCTCAGAGCTCAGCTTATTTATGTGCGTGTTCCAACTTAACTCCCGATTCAACCACACACCAAGACATTTTTGTTCTGTAACCTCCTCTATAATTTCATTTTCGAAATATATTGTCACCTTAGTGTTGTCGCACCTCTTAACGGGAGTGAAATTTATATATTTTGTTTTTTACGTTTAGTTGTAATTTCTTAGTTTGAAGCCCCACTGATAGATTGTCCAGATAATTATTTGTCGTAGATTCTAAGGCCGCTTTAGAGGTTGAAGCTAAAAACGTGTTAGTGCCGTCTGCGTACATGGCAAGCTCAGGATATCCCAAAATATTTGTGATATCATTCACATAAAGAAATAAGAGGGGGCCCGAAATAGACCCTTGCGGAACACCGTACTTTATTTTGAGCGTATTAGAAGAATTGTTGTAAATATAAACATACTGCATTTGATTTTAGAGGTAGTTATATTTTTTTTTTTTTTTTATTAAAGTCAAAGCAACCCCACGCAACGATTTTTGTATTTTGCGCAAATACCGCTTAGAACGGATCCCTGACGTCAATGACCTGTGAAATACCCGTTCGTTTTTCACCACACGCAATCGAAGTTGCAGAAAACAATTAAGAAAAACGAGCAGAGTTCACCCCCTCAACTCGCAGCCAGAACAAGCGGCCACGTGATCTGGAGCCGATTATATGCCGCCAATGTTGATCATAGCCATGCGCTGGGGTTATCAAGGCATAGGACACGCGCTGAGTTCCAGACATTGTTATGGTTCGGCTGTTGTCGTCATTGCAGCGATTGGACACAGGACACTACCCGAATGCTTCTCGAGCTGTCGATTATCACGAGCCCAAATCGAGTGTCTACGCCATGCTCGGGTCCAATCTATGAGCCGCATTCAAATATCGTCACTGGGCGGTACTGCTACCGCCCAGCTACGTCATCAGGTTCTGCGAAGGAGAGATTAGAGAGTTTTAGTAGATCGTTCTAATGACTCCGATAACGATACCCGATACTCCGCCACCGCCTCCCTTGCGCATGCATAGTATCGTTATCGGGCCATCAGAGGTATCGGAACGATCTACTAAAACTCTCTATTGAATGGAAACACTCGGTTTTGTCCTTGAAATTACACCGCAACAAAGGAGTTTCTTGGTCAGTGGCGTTGCGTGCGAGTATCCTTGAGTCCCACTAGTGCCAGTAAGCTCGTGTAGAGTGAAAAACATTCCAATTGAATATCGTTGCACCGCCCCTTTAAATAGTAATAGAGAGTTTTAGTAGATCGTTCCGATACCTCCGATAGCCCCGATAATGATACTATGCATGCGCGAGGGAGGCGGTGGCGGAGTATCGGGTATCGTTATCGGAGTCATGGGAACGATATACTAAAACTCTCTAATATGTCATGTTGGATCGTATCGGAGGCCATTCTAAATTCTAGGGATAAGCCGAAGGTGTATAATCTATTTTCAATGATTGTTTATAATGTTATCCTTTACTTCTACAGGTGCCTGCTCTGCAGATTTAGATTTTAGAAAGGCCTTCGTATCGTACCCTATCGGATGTGCAGAAACGGTTTCCCTAAAATTCCCTAGTGCCTGCAGACTTGTATACGAGGCACCATGGCGGCTTTTAGGGAACAACACAAACACACACGGACGTATCAAGATGTGAAACGTCTATGTGGTAGCCGCATTATTAACCCAAGTTTCGGGTACCTCTCACCGTGTGATGGTCCCCCATTCGTCCGATATCACTTGCAACCTTACATTTCGTTCACTAATTACTAACGAAGTTCGCGAAACGTTTGCGCCAGTCGCCTCTGCATTTTACATTGGAAAATTTGCAACTACTGTAACTTTCGAATGAAGATGCGGTTCTTCCAATCTTCAGTTCCATCAAAAAAAAAAAGATTGAGACTTTTTTTTAGGAAAAGGTTTTGAATATTTTAATGCCTTGTTTTAGTGACTTTTCAACATTTCCTCAGAGTTAAATAAATATAATAATTCGTCTTTTTTTTTTTTTTTTTGTATTTGAGAGTTACACGAGGATGTTCATCACAAGTTGCTGGATTTTAATTATGACAAACATATAACAAAAATCTCAATTCCAGGGCCGCAGACGAACAACGCCTAATGGACAGGGAATACCAAAGGTGGCGAAGAGGTGAGTAGCAGAAATCCATCTCCCAGTTTCGCACTCAAATTGCGGCGTCCGTTGTGGTACAACCCCCAATGTAAACCCCTCAGCAAAACGCAATAACATTTATGAAGCAAAAAGGTACGCTTAAAATATACAGGGTGTTCGGCTTCAATTCGAACAGAATTTATTATAAGAAGCCGCGAAAGATATATGGACTAATGCACCCTGTGCAGGTGAGTGGTACGTCCAGGATGACCTAGTATAGGGGGTATAGTCCTCGCGATAAGTCGGATAATTAACTAAAATGTCTTAGCTAACATTCTTAATTAGTGCAAGTAAATACATGGCATCGATTAGACACTTTCTAAGCGTCATCTAAAAACACTGAATCGATCGATTTTAGAAACGTGGAAAGAGCGGGGTCCGTTTTTGGCGTTTCGAAAACGAGGATGATAACCTTTTCATCCAAACTTACCACATGTTTGAAATATTTCTAAAATTGACTGATATAGTGGTCTTAGATGACGCCCAGCCAGTTTCTAACTGGAACCATATGTTTGTTTCACTAATTGAAAAGTTAATTAACAGTTTTTGGTTAATTATTCAATTTCTTGTGTGGAATATTATCTTATATTATGTCCCCATAACTTACCTGCACAAACCAAATTCAAGCAGCTTTCAGATTTTTTTTTAATTAATCTGTTGGAATTTAAATTAAACACCCTGTATTTTCAGTGTACTACAATATATTGTCAATAACCGAAGAATACTTTCAATCTACTCTTAGCACTGAAGGTATACATTTTAATAAAACAGTAAACGGAGAACATTATATACTTTCTGAAGTGTTTAATAATTTTTAAAAATTATTCCATCTTGGGGTATTGCTTTTTGCCCAGGTAACCCATTGTAAAGTTCCATTATGGTGCTAAGGTGAACTTCTCTCTTTTGTGCTACTTGGGGGCACCTAATTCAATTTAGTACCTAGTAGTACGCTTGACTTAGTTTTGATAACAGTTCTACAGACCCCCCTAAGAATATTAGATTTTTTTTTTCTTACAATCTCCGTTTAAGCTTTTTGACCTGGCTTGAAGGGAGGTGGGTCATCACGTGCCCATATCTTGTTCGGTAGTCGTCTCTGACACTGAGTGTGACAAATCATGCCGTACCGTATGTGACATGTATTCCGGCGAAGCTCTTTCTAGTGACTTAGTGGTTTACTGCCCTGCGAGGAGCAGCAATGAGAACAGTCAGACGATGCCTCGAGCAAAAATACAAACAATGAGTTCACTTAACGCTGGAATATGCTGGCGTATAAAACCTAAAGGGCGCATGGTGGAAAGAGTTCGTACGCAAATACGTCGCAGCAATTGCCTGGTACCGCAAAACAGCCCAATTTTCGTAATTCGTTCGCAACTTTTTCACGGTCGAGTAAATTAAAGAAAGTCCTGCCCCTTTTGGGGCAGGAGTTTCTTCAAAATTTTGTGATCGAATATTACAACAGAAAGGCGTTAATTGCGATCAATGTTCTTTACTGCAAAAAAAAATAAAAAATCTTTCATGTCGAAGTTTATCATGCATATCCGGTCGTTTCTAATTTCCTCACAAAAAAAAAAATATATATATATATATATATCTTAAATTTAGCTGAACTTGCTCGGCGTAAATGCACAGCACGTGACAAGGTTTAACGCTATAACCAAGCCACAAGAATTCATCTTTTCTTAAATAACTATTCACATATAACTGATCTGTTGAATTCACAAGCATGGCATGGCATGGCAAGCATGGCTTTAATAACATTGAGTGAATGCGCAAGTGACTTTGATAGATACATATGGCTGAACCATTCGGATCGGGTGGCAGCCAGCGCCATCTGAAATGAGACGTAGACGCTTGCGCTCTGGACAATGAGATGCAAGCGCATACCATAATGGTCGCACGTTTTCGGTGAATCGCTCTCGGCTGACTCCAACGGCCAGTTGATATTATTCATATCTTTGGCGACTGTACGCGCTGCCGGCAGCAATAAAATGGTCACCCTCGCGAGCCTTATGACGTCACTTAGTACATTCAATATACCAAAGCGAAACTTTGCACTGATCTACTTGCGTGCACTCTTTTCACCCCGTGTGCCGTAGGTTTTCCCGACAAAACGTTTGGAGATAAAACGGACGCCCTATACAAGCAAGGTATTTAAAAACGCTTCTGTTACGAAGTTTCTTGGGGTCATTCTAAACTCAGGGTCGGCTGCTGACGTCTGTGATCGGTGCAGACCATTTAACAGATATCCACCAAGCCTAAAGGAGCTGCAATTAGGTAGCTGCCAACAGCAGCCATAATAGATGGCAGTCACTGGCTGGCTTAGTTGAGCGAATGCGCACGAACCCTCACTCATACTCCGCTAAGACCAGCAATCTTGATGGTTTGGGATGCACAGTCCCGGGGGGAGGGGGGCCTTATTCTTAGCATATGCCAAGCGACAATGGGCTCAGCTATGGCAGCCATTGAATGCCACCAATTGTTTGAGGCTTTATATAATTCCTCATCGACAAGATGCAGCAAATTATTGTAAAAATCTTAAAATCCCGAACCAACGGCCACCCCCAAAAAATAAAATCGTGAAAGGCTTTTTTTTTTTTCTTTTCTTTTGTTGTTTTTTTAGCTTGTTAGCATTCAGAATAACCACTTGATGCTCATAAAGCATGAAGCAGGGCTCAATTTTTGTTTACCTGCGCTGGCTTGCGCAAAAAAGGGCATTTATGAGATTCATTGCTAACTTCAAATTCTAATGTATTTTTGTTTCTGTTTCAATTATTTGGCTACGGATATAACATTTTGCACCCCACAACAATAAACAAAGAGTGAGGAGAGTAGCTTGAGTAACTTCTTACCAGCTGTCTCCGCAGAAGCCTCAATTAAAGCATAAAGTACATTGCCAACATATATATATTTTATATACAGAAATTACAGAATTGTTGCTGATACTCCTAAGACAGAACAATAGGTCACGAGCAGAACAAAGTGAGCAACCCACTCTGTGCCTACAATGAACATGAGCATGCCCATATTTTACTTGAGAATTAGAACGACAAAAGGAAAGGCGCTCAAACAAAAACTAAAGTAGTTAAAAGCAGATAGGAAAGAACTTGGAAGAGAACCTCCTAAAAGCCTCGAGTTGCAGCCGACGTTTCTTGACAAAACTAAAGTGTAGCTACGCTCACTTTTAAGAATCACAATCCGTTGATTTCCATAGCCAAAGCTTGGTCATATCGACAAAGCCCGCAGTATGTAGAATGGGTACTTGATCTGCGGTCCTGTGTGTGCCTCGCTGTTGCCGTCGTAGGGTTAGATTAGGTTAGGTAGGAGGCGACAAAACACGGTTAGGCTTAGCGAAAAAATGTGAAAAGTCATATCTCAAAGGTTAAAAGGTCAAAAGTCAATGAAAAGCGGTCACGTGATAGACGTCATCGAGTCCTCTACCTAGGGGGCAGTAACATCTATCACACGACTGCTTCACTGACTGTTGACCTTTAACCTTTCAGATGACCGCTTTCATAAACACGCTTCAGAAGTGCCTGCAAGCTGTCGACTGTATGAGCAGTTTAACTGAGGCTAAGCCTAACCCAGCCCAGAAACGCGTTCCACGTTGTAACAAAACAAAAAAAGTTGCTCAAAAAAATCTTGTGGCAAAACGCATTTTTCCATCCCCTCCCTCCCTGCCCCTCCCTGCTGTGTCTCTCCGCACGATTCAGGTCCCTCTAACGGAGACGAACAAACGACCGCCAACGGTGTTGACGAACCTTTTCCAGACTGGACGCGGACGCTGCACACCCCGCCGCCCAAGAAGCAGAACAAGACGTCGTCCGCGCTGCGCAACATCAGGAAGCGACTGCTCAAGACCGTGAGCCGAGTCACCTCCAAGAGAAAGAACAAGTGACTCGTCCGTCACCGGCCATCACTACGACGACGACGCAATGGCCCGCGTCCGCGACATATAAAAAAAAAGTGACTGCTCCAGACTGTGAGCCGCGCCATCCATAAGAGAAAGAACAAGAGACTCATCCGTCACCAAGCATCATCAACCTTACTACAAAAGATGGCGCATCGTTCCGTGTCCTGCGCGTAAAAGGGAGCAAGAACGCAACTGTGGGTGTGAATGAACCGACGCAGGCGTCGAACATTGACCCCGTGCGGTGTAAAAACTCGGGTCGAGCGTGACTGCCATGCGTTTTTGTTTCAAACCGTGCGTGCGGAAAAGAACAGCTGTGAAACCGGCGTACAGTGCTATCAGCGAGCGTTAAGACGAGTCCAGCGGAGGAGTCAATGTCCTCTTTTCTGTGTGTCAATGCCACTGCTTGGTGTCCATTGGCTCCCACTAGGCAACGTTGTTCACATTGTGCTACCAGTCACCCTACAGTTCAGTGCTGCCAAACCTCGAGAGAGAGCGAAATGACAAGAGTGGCGACAGGTCTGCTCCAAGCCCAGAATGTCATATGCCTGTCACTTTGCCTGCTCGTCACCTACCGCGTTGCTGTGGTATCTTGAGCGGCACTCAAGTGGATTCTGAGATTGTCTGTTTACCGTCATAACTCAATCTATGGCCTTTAAGCATCCTAAAAAAAAAAACCCGAAATTACATTCAAGGGCGGCCGATTTCCCTATTAAAACTCCAATCAAAGATCGTGCTTCGCCCCCCTTTCTGCGCCACGGCGCAGAACACCAGGGGGTTTCACCAGACGGAAAGGCCACAGGGGAGGGCACGCGACAGCCAATCACGGGTGACGGCTTCCCGGGCGGACTAAATTTTCGAATATGCGTGCCTTCGAAATATCAGTCCGCCGGGAAGCCGTCGCCCGTGATTGGCTGTCGCGTGCCCTCCCCTGTTGCACTTTCCGTCTGGTGGCACCCCCTGGTGTTCTGCGCCGTGGCACAGAAAGGGGGGCGAAGCACGATCTTTGATGGGATATTTAATAGGGAAATTGGCCGCCCTTGGACGTAACTTCGGGTTTTTTAGGGTGCTTGGAGCCCATAGATTGAGTTACGACGGTAAATAGACGATCTGAAAATCCACTTGCGTGCCCCTTTAAGACAGTTCATAATGAACCGAGTAGGTCAGTGTTTTGTTTTAAAAGATTTATTTTTGCAGAGAGTTTACCTCGTTAATATATCCTTTCAACCGGCCTTGACAACCCAAAACATCCTAGAAAACTGCAGAACATGAAATTTTGTTCCTAGACTACAGTGGCTGGAAGGGGAAGTGTGCCGGCCGGGAGCTTAGGGCTGCACAGAGTTGCCATGAAAACGATTGTCGGCAGACTGCTGCGCCCGCGGTAGCGACCGCAACACACGCGCTGCCCTCAGCGCGTGTGTTCTAAGGTCACGTAGCTTCTTTATATTTTGACTCGTATTTCTGTAGCTACATGAATTGCGCACGTTTCACCCGTCAAATAGGTTGTGCGTCTAAATTCCGCGATGAAAATTCCGCGACAAAATTTGCAATACCAACTGCGAGGTGGTGAGGAACGCGTTGTTTGTCTGCGAGCGTCTCAGCATCTCCGCCTACGTTCCTCCTCGCCACGCAGAAACGCAGCGCATGCGCACTTGCGACCAATCTTCGCCGGTGGCGTCCGCCATTTAATTGCAAGCGTTCCCCGTGGTTTGAGATGAGCCCCCTCCACGATCTAGGCTCTAAAAATTGTCACCGCGTCTCGCGCCCGTCATTATTGCGCGCATATGGCGCTCTGCACGCCTCCCCTTCCAGCCACCGTACCTAGACCAAAACATAAAATGTAGAAGTCCCTAGAGCTAGGGACACATCCCCAAGTTGGCAGCACTGCTCCAGTTGACTCCTCTCCCGCTTCAGACGGAGCAATTTCATCCAGCAACTTGACGTCGCAACACCAGCAACACGGGCCGCCCGCGTTCACACGCAGCAACCGAATTGCTCCGACTTGCCATCATCATCATTAAATTTGATTTTTTTTTTCACTATTTAGACGCCCAGCTACGCGCTAAAAACGCGTTCTTATATCTTTGAACGGCGTTGAGAATACTAACTAATTTTTCTGAAACTGTTTACTTCCGAAAACGAACCATTTCAAACCAGAACTAAGTCTTTAGCAGTCATCATCACCACCACAGGGCTGTCACGTGAAAATATCGCGTCTTTGATTGGCTGCAGCCGCTTCAACCGTCTTCGAATTGCTCCGAGTTGCTCGCTTGTTCGAGCCGGACCCGATCTCAGCAATTCGCGTCGATCTAGGGAAAGCTGGGGAACAACCCGCCAGCAACCTCAAAATTGCTGGAAAAGTTGCCCCGTCTGAAGCGGGCCTTAACGATTCTTCAAGAAAAAAAACATTATTAAATATGTTATTCTTTCTCTCTCTCTTCTTAAAAAAAAAACTGAGAGCTAAGTGGATTATATTTAGAAACAGTGAAAGTAATTATGTGGAATTGGCATCAATTTGAGGGACACTAAGGTTGGTCCATTAAATTATATCATTTCTCATGTGAGAATAGTATTTGGCTAGACTACTTCATGAGCTACTTCATGTAATCTTTTGCGAATTTCAGCTGAGACAGCGTGTGCAGTCCAAATCGCACTTAGCTGGAACACGAGCTAGCTCTTCATATAACTGACCTGGTCTTTTTCTACAGATGTATGGCTTCTATGTACCCCTCTACATTCACCCAACCCCTTTGAATGCACATAGATGTCTCGGCAAACATCACACATTACTTTTGCTCCAGCAAAGGACCACTTCGATGCTTCAGTTAAATGTGACTATGACTGTACATCAAGCAAGCAAACTTAGCCCAGAAGCCACTCAAGAATATTAACAACCTTAGAGGGTATCAAATATTACCCACTGGCGCATGTTAAAAGAACTTAGATTGCTTCCTTTGTTGCAAAAAGAAATAGCCAATAACCTTCACGTAAGAATCTTTCTTTATTACAAAATTTAAGTCTAAAATATATACAAGAAATAAGATTGGCATTGACAGATAAGATTGGTGTTGACAGAAAACTGTACAGAGGCTGTTCTGATGTTTTGTGTACATAGTGTGTCTGTAAAAGGAACAGAGTTGAGGACAATTTCACGACTGCCACGGAGATCATCTTGACGTTGCCGCATCGCCAACGTCAATCATGACCTAGACGTCGAATGCATTAAAAAATATTTTATCACTGCCCCCGGAAGTTGCTTTCAACCTTCAAATGCTTTCCTGGCTTGAAAGCTGATCAACAAGGCAATAAAAAAGAGGCAAAGCCCCAGGAATGGGTGCAACAACTTTTCTAATTGATTTCCGCTTCCTTTATGTCGTGCAACAGTGCCATTGAACCAATACAAAATGCTCATCGTGATTGCAATTTTTGTTTTTTTTAGCTGTGTGAAGATCAAGTTCACTGTGTGGCACTGTTGGTGTAAACACAACATTGATGCCTTTCACACTTGACTTCAAAGGAGCACTGGTGGACACTAAACTTTCCTGTTTAGGATAGCACCTCAAGTGAGCATATTCCACCACAGTACGAGTTTTGATGACAGCCTTTCATATCTAAGAAAATAGCAGACAAAACCGACGATCCCTTGTTTGCACTAACAGTGTTGTTCGGTGTACTTTATAAATCTTCACCTGAGCATGTAATCCAGTGATGCAGACACTAATGTCATATTGGATATTAAAAACATATTTACACAGCAAAAGCCAACCGAACGCAGACAGCTGATCAAACACGAATGTGCGAGCATCGGTATTCGCTTCCTCCTCCTGCATTCGTGCCCCAAAGCGTGTGACAATGACATGCAGGAAATTTAAAATGGTCACTCAATGCGTAAATTTATTTTTAAGAGGAATGCCCGATGGTTTGCGATGAGTGGAAGAAGAGATCTAAATGCTTGCACTTTCTTTCGGGGACGGTGGGTTATGGCAGGTTTTCTTTGCGCTCACGAAGCCGACGTAGTTTAGACATTGCACGGACGTCAGAGGTCGTCGTAGTTGCTGACATTAACGATGCTGGGGTCAAAGGGTTGGCCCTTGAATGGCGAGCCGTCCTTGTCCCAGGCCTCTCGCAAAAGATTCTCCACCTTCTGAAATGTGCAGCCGTAATGCATCAAGTTAGCAGTCACGTAATTGCCGAGTGGTGGCATCAAGGTTATGGGATGTGTGAGAAATGTTGCTACAAGGTATGTAACAACAGACTAATTCTGTTGTAACAAAGGCACGGGACTAGCATACGAGACTGCATGCAGCTTTGTTGTAGTCATGTGATAACAAGATATGCGAAATTCATAGTAGCACAGTTAGCAGCAAAATGAAAAGAACTTGAAGTGAAGCATGCAACCATGCTGAAAAGCAGCAAGAAATCAAACGAGCCCTGATTATGATGACTACTAAGGGTTAACTCGTGCGAGAACTTAGTCCATATTGCACAAAAAAGAAAAAGAGCCTCAAGCTTTAATTAGTTACCAGTTAGAACAGGTGTAAACAGCCAAGTTTATACAAGAATTCTAACATACAACTGAATACAGTTGAACCTCTTTATAACGAACACTGATGTAGCGAATTATCGTATATCGAACTAATCACAAAGTTTGGTCGGTCATGCTTTATTTGGATGGGTGTTCTAGTTATATAACGAAACCGTGAAACCTGATGCGATATCGGTTATAGCAAAGCGATTCCTGCTTTCCTTGTGCCACAAAATACTATGAAGGTTATTAAAAAGTAGAAAAAATACAAAAAGTAATTTCTAAACGAAAAATTCCAGAAGTTTAGATCGCCCAATGTGCAAAAATGCGCGTTTCGCGAGGTAGCGCCACCTATGAACCGAGTGAATAACGGCGGTTGCGCCGCATCTGGCCTCTATGCAAGGCATCAAGAACCAGTGCAGACTAAAGCCAACTGCCAACCAAACCACTCGTAGCGGGAGCTGCAAATGGCGACGAAATGAAAAGCTGTTTCTCTGGAGACAAAAGTTAAGGTTTTGAGGGCAGTGGCCGGTGGTCGGAAGAAAAAAGATATCACTGCGGACTTCGAGCTTGCACCAAGCATGATATTTACCATCATGAGTGCAAGGAAGAAGATTGAAGTCTGCTATGCAAACAACACCGTCAAGACTGACCGAAAAAGTCTTAGGCTTGCCTCTACCCGGAAATGGAAGAGGCTCTGCTCTGATGGTTTAAGGACGTAACGGTGCGAAATTTGCCGGTGTCGGGTCAGCGTCTTCAAACGAAAGCAACCAGTCTGGCGTGTCTGTTAGGGCATGATGATTTCAGCGCCAGCAGCGGTTGAGACACCAGCCCAAAATGGAAGAGGCACCAGCCCAAAATCACGTCTTCAAATAAATGGAATAATAGATCCAGCTTTTGTCGTTTCTCGTGTGGCAGATTGATATCCTCGTGCTCCGATCTGTTTTTTTAATGGTGCTTAGTGACAGGTAAGGATCTCCTAGTCTGCGATAGCGAGTTTTTATATCTTAGTACTGTGCACATTCTTGCACAGGCTCGATTGCGAGAATGAATATCGCATTTAGCGAACAAATTTCCGCTCCCGAGTCTAGTTCGTTATAATGAGGTTCGACTGTAGTATTGAACATTCATTGATCTTCATGAAGTTCTGCAAAGCATGAATGGCACGGTTATCTAAAAATCTGCAGTGCCACAAAGTATGCAAGACAATCAGCCTCCTCCCACGGGTATCACAAAGTTTAACATTGTCACCACAGAGCGAGTCTATCGGAAATGGCCAACTCTTAAGTGGCACTATAGGACGGCAATATAGGACGACAATCTTTCAAAAGAAGCAGCCCTCCCTTAGTCCAAGTACTTGACAACGAGAAGTTTGCTGTCAGACTTGCACGTCCCAATTCAAGGACATGCAATGACACAGATTGCCGAGGAGGATGCAAACTGCCAATGCATCAAATGGTGCTTGGAAAGGAATGTGAGCGCATGCAACCCATCTCTGTACTACAATTAACTCGGTGCTCGATTCGGGAAGGCGGCTTCCTGAAACAAGCCCTGCACAAACTGTCGCAGCCACGCATGGCTTGCACATAAAGTCACCATGCTGATGGCCCTTCCTAGATATTCTTGCATAAAGCAAATTCAGTGGTGTGAAACATAAATTTATGTGCTTGGCAGCAAAGGCCAGTACAATGGCCGCTGATGGGGCGTCGGGGCAGGCCATGTATAGCCTAATGTGTCACAAGATCTGCAATAGAGTAATCTCTAAATAAATAAATAAATGAGGAAAGGCAGTATGCCCCACCTCCTGCTTGGGCGTCTTGCGTCCCATCTGGCGTTGGATGTTGTTGTAGGTCAGCTCCTGGATCTTGGCCTGGGATTCCTCGTCCAGGTCCTCAAAGGGCTTGCTGGGGTCTATGGCCCGCACATTGATCTTGGCCTCCGAGACCAGCAGCTGGTCCCACCAGCGCTCCTCCGCCTTCTCCATGTTCACCTGCACGATGAACGTCGTGGAACAATGGAGTCATGTAATGCCCGCCTGCTGGGAATGCTCGAGTCCCACACCTTTGATGCCCATACTTTCAAAGAAAGCATTAGGTAATGATGTCAAGAAACCACCCAAAATATTTTTTACTACAGAGTCACTTATTTGCTGAGAAAGATGAAGTCGAACCGAAATGGGAGGACGAGAGCGGAGGAACGTGAAGTTGAAGCCTCTCAAGCCACTTGGGTAGTTTAAACCACTGGTACAGTAAAACCTCGTTAATTCAACACCCGCTAATTCGGAAATTCTGATAATTTGTACTGACGATCCGGTCCCGTCAAACGTGTGTATTAGTCAATGGCACCATACGCTCATTATTTCGGAGGGAACGTAGCGCGCTACGGTTAATTCAGACGAATTCGGCAGGTGGTGCAAGCTACCGTCCGTTCCAAAGGGTATATGAATCCGAGGTGCATACGTGTTTTTTCCGGTTTTCCCATGGTTCTTCGCTCTTCCGGTTCTCCGTGTTTCGCACCAGTTTGGCTCTGGATTGCCGTGCATTAGCGCGCTACTCTCCTGGCATAGAAATGGCAGAAGCATGGCTGCAAAAAAAAGTAGCACAAGTGACCGACGACCGGAGCGGCAAAATCGCGACACGCGGTGCTATTGTTCCCGAGTGCACCGATAGCGAGAGTCACAGTCACGTTCATGCCTCAACGCGGGGTGGCCGGCAGAAAGCAGCCCATCCTAAAGCCCGCCATTTTAACAGCTATCCCGCGAAAAATAGCGCCGGGTGTCGCGATTTCTCCACTCCGATCATCGGTCAGTTGTGCAACTCGTTTTCCGTTGCAGCTGTACCAGGCCATAAATTTAGCGACGAAAGTGGAAATACTGGGGGCCTTAAAGGACGGCGTCTCTCGACAACAAGTGATGGAAAGTTACGACGTCAAGAGAAGCACTTTGGCCACGTACGTGAAAATTGAGGCCGAGATCCTACAGGCTTTCGACAGCGAGAAGTTCAACGTGAAAAGAAAGCAGCTGTGTAAGGTGGTTTACCCAAAACTAGGTGAGGCGTTGCGGCGCTATATCGTCAGCGCACGGGATGCATAGCTCTGACAGTGCGAGTGCAGTGGAGCACTTGACCGCACAAAGGAAAGTTGCCGTCTCCGCCCAAATGTCGTCCAGAAAGCAGGTGGCAATAACAGATTTCTTCTCAAAATAAAGGTATGTCGCAGGGAAAAGTTTTCGCGCTGTTTTCTTTGTCTTTTCGATATTTCGACTTTCAGATAATTCAGACATTTTTGCCGGTCCCATGAGATCCGAATAAACAAAGTTTGACTGTACTGTGTGTTCAAAGTTCCTTTAAAGGTACACTGAGAGGGTATTTATGCACACCAATGTTTTCATTTGAACATGACCGATGAGAGCTTAACTGCCCAGAGCACAATTTACGGCTCGAAATCCGTATTCTTTCTGCCCAAAAAAACGGCAGAGAATTGGTTGGTTACAGGCGCATTCACTCTCTTTCATGGACACGTGCCGTCCAAACTGATGCGCACCAAATATATTCAAAGTCGTGGGTCACCTAAGGCACACATTCAATACTGTAAATAGAAAAGAATACGAATCCCGTTTTTTGTGACTTCCAAGAAACTGCAAATACGTTGATTGAAAAGAATTGCTGCACAGATCACCGGAAGTACACGTACACGTCGTTCTCAATATGGCGATGTACCCAGGGCTGGACGACGCAATGGCTGCGCACAATGGACCCACGTTGCAACGGACATGGTACCGCTACTTCGGAACCGTAAGTTTGTATAACCGACCAATCAATCAATCTTCGAGTGCAGAACAGCGAGGGGAAGGGACAAAAACGCGAAACAATTGCACGACAAACGGTTCACGCAACGTCCTCATCGTTGTCGTCTGCTTCACACGCTCGAGAAGGGGAGGAACGGAAAAAAACTGGGTAGGGAGCGATGGCCACGTAACTTCCAGCAACTCCCTCCTCTGATCCTCTGTGTACATGTTCTGGTTTCAAACCGTTGAGTGTTTTAGCTTTATTAAAAATATTTGTGGATCTGTAACAAAATATTGATTGGGTTGCCTCCCTACAGTATAATAAATCGCCTGGCAAAAAATATAAAAAAATTTTTTGGGGGGTGTCAGTGTTTCTTTAAACCAATGTATTCTATCGAGAAACGAATTAATGCAGAGTGCGCCCACTAGCCAGTTCACTGAGTCAGTTCAAAACCTTTTTCTGCGTGGTTTTCACCCTCCTGATTGGCATGTTTCCAATCAGAAATTGAGGAGCTCGAAGGTTAAAGCAAGCTTTTACTCAGCAGCATCTCAGACCGTTCCGCCTGGTTCGATCTCCCGCGCGTGTGTGCCCCGTGTGCCTCGTGTATCCCATGCGTTGCCGATCGCCCCATTGTTCACTTGGCACCATCTGTGAAGAGAACGATACTTCCCTTCCTTGAGAAACGAGTCGTTCGCTTACAAGTTGAGGCGCTGAGGTGGTCTCGCTGCTCGGCCACTGCGTGTGGTTAAGCAGGCTTCTCCAGAACTGCCTACTTTCGCATTGCTGGGGAAGTTTCCCCGAGTCTCTATATGTAGGTGCGCTCTCGTGCAACGCAAACTTCCTCAGCTGTCTGCACTATATAAGATCTCAGAGTATCTGCGGGTCCCACAACGGTCCCTAGTTGTTGGATCCCTTGTCTCATGCAAACTATTGCCTCTGGCTGCAAAGGTGATCTCTCTTTCACTCGGTGTCGAACATTGTAGGCTGCTTCTTTTTCTCGGAGAGCTTTGTTCCATTGTCGGTACCTGGATCTGTATCTCCATTTTGGTTCAAGGTTGTCGGGTATGGTCGGAACATTCGTTTTTAATCTTCAGCCCATGAGAAGTTCCGCAGGTGAGTAACCCTCGGGACCCTGCGTTGCTCTGTGTGCCAGAAGTCCTTCAGCAACGTTGTTGGATTTCCTGAGGATGTTTTTGGCAGTTTGAACAGCTCTCTCCGCCTCGCCCTTGCTTTGTGCATAATGTGGGCTAGATGTCATTTGCTCTCCTCCCCAGTCACTCAGAAATCGCTTAAATTCAAGTGTATTGTACTGTGGGCCGTTGTCCGACTGAATCAAATCCGGGACAGCGTAACGAGAGAACAGGTGATCGAGAAAATGGGTGACATGCTTCGTTTGTGTCCCATGAAGTTCTTCGAGTTCAAAAAACTTGGAGTAAAAGTCAACAGCTATGATGTGATTCCTTCCCGCAAGGCGGAACAGATCAGTGCCAGCTGCTTGCCATGGACGTTCCTGGAGAAGCAGGCACGTGCCAGGGGGAGTGTTCAGGTGTGAAAACACCCCCCAATTTTTTACTTTATTATATATATATGGGTGATTTCATCTCAAATCGGGCAGGCTAAAAGTGTCTAATTTTAAATTTTCACTAAAAAAATATATGTTTGGGGGGTATTTCTCAAATGAAGGAAGGCGCAAACCGCATGTTCTCCCGATTTTTTGTTCTCGAGTTACGAGCCGTAGAAGCCGCAGGAGCAGAAACTAGTGTTTTTGCCTGCCGTCGCAGGTCGCATGTTTGACACCCTCTGCTGACGCTATTGTTTTCTCTACACCCTTTTAAATTTTCCCTCTCATTTAATAGGTACTATAAAGATACCTTGATGTATTCAAATATTTTTAGAAATTTGATTGTTTTCTAAAACACATGTCAAGTTCGTCACTCCGGTCGCTTTTCGGTCAAATTTGACAGGTCATTAGTTTGTCTGTACTTAAGGTAAATTTTCTTTCCTTTGCTCTACAGAAAGCCCAAAGCAAGCCTATTATAGATATAATAATATCATTATGATCTGTCGACTAGCCGCTCCGCTACCTTCACGTAAACGTTGTAAGAAATAACAAATGTTGAAAGTTTGAGGTCGATTTTCTCAAAAACCCCATTTTTGTAAATTTTTATTTTTTAAATTCTTTTAGACATATTAGTCGACTACAAGAAAAAAACAGTCTAGGAATGTAATATTTCGGTTGTATGTCCTCTGTTTGAGCCGTAATCGCGTGAGATGTGTGAACATTTGTTATTTTTCACAATGTTTACGTGAAGGTAGCGGAGCGGCTACTCGGCAGATAATAATGATATTATTATATCTATAATGGGCTTGCTTTGGGCTTTCTGTAGAGCCAAAAAAAAGAAAATTTACCTTAAGTATAGACAAAGTAACGACCTGTCAGATTTGACTTAAAGCGACCGGAGTGACGAGTTTGACATGTTTTTTTAGAAAACAATCAAATTCCTAAAACTATTTAAATACATCAAGGTATCTTTATAATACCTATTAAATGAAGGGGAAAAGTTAAAAGAGTGTAGAGAAAACAACAGCGCCAGCAGAGGGTGTCAAACACGCGACCTCCGACGGCAGCCAAAAACTCTAGTCTCTGCCACTGCGGCTTCTACGCTTCGTAACTGAAGAACAAAAAATCTGGCGAACATGCAGTTTGCGCCCTCATTTATTTGATAAATGCCCCCAAAACATATATTTTTTTCGTGAAAATTAAAAATCAGACTTTTTTATTCTGCCCGATTTGAGATGAAATTTCCCATATCGGGCAGGCTGAAAGGGTCCAGCTCTTAATTGTCACAAAAAAAATATATCTTTTAGGGGCATTTCTCAAATGAATGAGAGCGCAAACCGCAAGTTCCCCAGATTTTTTGTTCTCGAGTTACGAAGCGTAGAAGCCGCAGTGGCAGAAACTAGTGTTTTTGCCTGCCGTCGCAGGTTGCGTGTTTGACACCCTCTCCTGGCGCTATTTTTTTCTCTACCCCCTTTTAACTTTTCCCCCTCATTTAATAGGTATTATAAAGATACCTTGATGTATTCATATAGTTTTAGGTATTTGATTGTTTTCTAAAAAAACATGTCAAACTCGTCACTCCGGTCGCTTTTAGGTCAAATATGACAGGTCGTTACTTTGTCTGTACTTAAGGTAAATTTTCTT